CACACACACACACACACACACACACACACACACACACACACACACACACACACACACCCACTAAGTCACAGATCATTGACTTCGTAGTCATGTCACCTGATCTGCAGCTGTATGTTTTGGACACCTGGCTGAAGAGAGGAGCTGAGCCATCAACTGACCACCACCTGGTGGTGAGTTAGAGTAGATGGCGGGGGACAGACCCGGTAGACCCAAACATGAGGGTTTGTTAGGAAGACCTGGCAGAGGAACCTGTCAGACAGATCTTCCACTCACACCTCTGGGAGAACTTCAATCACATCCCAGCCGAGGCAGGGACATTTAGTCCGAGTGGACCATGTTCTGTGCCTCAGTTGTTGAAGCAGCTGCCTTGAGCTGTGGCTGTAAGGTTGTTGGTGCTTCTTGCGGCGGCCATCCTGGAACWCGTGGTGGTGGACACCTCGGGTAAGGGATGCTGTCAAGCTGAAGAAGGAGTCCTATCTGGCCTTGTTGGCTGGTAGGACTCCTGAGGCAGCTGAGGAGTATCAGCAGGCCGTTGCTGAGGCAAAAGCTCAGATGTTGGAGGAGTTCAGTGAGGCCTTGGACAAAGTTCTCCATCAGCTCCGAGGAGATTCTGGCAAACCATCTGGCGGCTGAGGCGRGGGAAGCAGCACTTCACCAACACTGTGCTCAGTGAAGATGGGGTGCTGCTGACCTCAACCAGTGATGTCGTCAGGAGGTCGAAGGAATACTTCTCAGACCTTCTCAATCCCACCAGCACGTCTTCTATGGAGGAAGCAGAGTCTGAGGACGTTAGTGTTGGTCTGTCCATAACTGGAGCCCAGGTCGCTGAGGTAGTTAAAAAGCTCCACGACGACAGGGCTCCAGGGATGGATGAGATTCGCCCTGATTTCCTCAAGTCTCTGAATGCACCCACTTCAGATGTTATCATCCATTAAATGGACATTATTAGCCTWCATCAGTCCTATACAAAGGCTTCAGACTGTCAACTGGTTAATATGAGACATTAAACCACTAAGGTTARTTTTAGGGAAAATGACATGTAGACCGGACCCTGGTGGTAGCAGATTGTTACATTCCAACATACAAGGCACTGGTAACCCACTAGGGGGCACAGTCGGGACAGTTTGAAGCCATTCTATGGGACTGATAACCACTAATAACATCCATTTAATGGACTGATAACATCCAAACCGGCTGCTGGATATTGTGGGGCTGTCCTGGTTGACACCTTTGCAACATCATGTGGACATCAGGGGCAGTGCCACTGGACGGGCAGACTGGGGGGGTGGTTCCTCTCTTTAAAAAGGGGACCGGAGGGTGTGCTCCAGTTACAGGGGCATCACTCTCCTTGGTCACCAGGTAAGGTCTTTTCAGGGGAACTGGAGAAGAGAGTCTGACCGGTAGATCTGGAGGAACAATGCAGGTTGTTGTGACTTGGTGCTGTATAAATAAACTGAAACAAATTGATTTTAAAAACTGATTTGTTTTGGCTGCAGGAAACTGTCAGCAATTTGATTATTTCTTGAAATGGTTAGAAATAAATCAGTTGTGTGGAAAGAAGACATTAATAAACTTCTGCTTTAAATTTTATTTCACTAAAATAAATGCAGCCAATTCTAGCATGCTGGTAATAATCAGAGGTGTTTCACATTCATTACATAAGTAGAAGTACAGATACTAGGGTTTAAACATACTTTTTTGGAAGTAGAAGTATCAAGTCAAACTTTTTACTCAAGTAAAACTATAAAAGTACTGGTTTTAAAACTAATTAAACTATAAAAGTAAAAGTAAAAAATACTTTAAAAAGGCATTAAGGATAAAAGCTTTGTGGACTTGGAGAAGGTGTTCAGCCGTGCCCCTCAGGAACTCCTGTGGGGGGTACTCTGGGACTATGGGGTACCAGGCCCATTGATATGGACTGTTAGGTCCCAGTAGGACCGGTGCCAGAGCTTGGTCCACATTG